ACTTGTGTTCAGTAATGAGTCCACATAAGCAGCATTACAGCTGATGGCATGGTCAGCCTATGCTCCCTATATTCCTTTGTCCCCTCACAATGAGACCCCATGAGTGGGGAAAGTTTCAAGCAAGCGCTGTGGTTCCAGTGACTAGATTATTCCAGGGTGGTCTCTGAATTCAGTTCCTATTGGGGAGTTCTCTTTTTTTTTTCTTATTCTTCTTTTCTTTAACTAGAGAGAGAGAGGGAGAGCGCGCGCTCGGGAAGGAAACCTTAAAATAAAATTGGAGGAACAGCAGCAAAGGAACAAGGGAGCAGAAACAAATTCAAATGGATTGAGGCCCTCCTGATGTGCAGAGAAAAAACTGAAGAGGCAAGAGACCCACAGCTCCAGCCACCAGCTGCCACTAGTGGCAGAGATTGGGCAATTTGACAGCAAATACATTGTCCCTACTGCAGTAATAACTACAACTTAAATAACAGTAGTAGCTTAGATACATTCAGAACAATGGTAACAAAATCACTCTTAAAACAGGGACACAGTGCAACAAAAATATCTAATATCAAAAATATCTGGGCTATCTTGATTATCACTTCAAAAGTTTTTTCTCTTACTTAATTGGCCTCTCAGAGTTGGTAAGACAACTCCCACCTGTTCATGCGCTCTGTATGCGCGTATATATAACTCCTCAATATATGTTCCCCTCTATATGCATCCGAAGAAGTGGGCTGTAGCCCATGAAAGCTTATGCTCTAATCAATTTGTTAGTCTCTAAGGTGCCACAAGTACTCCTGTTCTTTTTGAAAAATATCTACATTTCTCATAGCATATCAAACTTGCTATGGTACACATCAAGAACGACTGACTATTTCACGTCCTCTAATTAACATAATATTGAGCTGGCAATCCCTGCCTTTGCTCTAGCATCGATGCGAATCTCCATCACCCAATTGGTAAATTTTCAAACAAGCACTTTTGTGCTTTCTCCCACACTGCCTCAACTAGTGGAAGGAGATCCTGTTAACTTCCATACAGCCACCACATTGTCCACCTTCAAATTCCTCCTTAAAAAGGTGATTAGGCAGCTGATGTGCTATGACTGTTGCTTACCAAGTAGAACATAAGCATCTCATTGTTACCTTGCAATTCCCTCCCACCTAGTGTTTGTTATACCCAGGTGTTGTATCCTAAACGGAATGTAAAGCTCTTCAGGACAGGGACCACTTTTGTATCATGGGTTTGTACAGCACCTGCTTCAATGAGGCCTCACTCACAATTGGGACCTTTGGGTGCTACTGAAACAAATAATTTGCTCCTGCTCCTGGCACTGCCACAAATACAAATAAATAAATATATTAATAAATAGTACAGGTTTATCAAGCCACGTAGTTGCAGGCCTTTAGCACCAGTTTCATAAATGTTAGTAAAGCTTTTTTTCCAATCTATTTGTTTTCATATGACCTATAAGACACTGATGTACAAGAACTAGAAGCAAACTCAAACAGCCTTCATTTTCAAAACCAGAATTTTAAAAATCCCAGAATATATATTATAAATTCACTGCAATTCTATGAAGTCTCAGTCCAGGTTGGAAGCAAGAAAAGAAATATTGTAGAAATTCTCATTTGGAACATTGGAACGTAAGAATGTAGGAACTGGCATACTAGATCAGACCATTGGCCCAATTAGGCCAGTATCCAGTATCCAACAGCAGCCAGCAACTGGCAGTTGAGAAAAAGATGCAATAAAACCTATAAGGGAGAATTGATGAATAATCTGCCCATAGAGAAAGTCTCTTAGTTTATTCAGTTAAACCATGAAGCATGAGGGTTTATATTCTCTTCTGAGAAAAAAAAAAAAACTTGCTTCCTATTTAATATATATCTGAACTTTTCCATCATCCAGCTAATCCTTCTTTGAATCGGATTAGGCACTTTAAATTTAAAAATATACAAATACAGCACTAAGTCACCCAGGAGTTTCTGCTAAGAACTCCATGCTCTGCACAGGGGTGCATGCCAGCTGTATATGTTCACCATTATATCTGCATTTTGTTCCTTTCTGTACCAGAGAGAGGAACAGGTGGCATAATATTTGCCAAGTACTAGAAATTATATAGAAATTAAAAATTAAAAAAAATTCGTAGTGGTTTGCTCATTCTCCAAACTATGAACATCAAGTGTCCACATCGTTTTTGCCAAGCATGGAATAAAGGCATATATAAAAAAGTCCTAAATAAACAATTAAGAATCCTCCTAATATCTTACAAAGACTTAAATTATTTATTTCACTCAGCCACCTTATATTTTATAAAGAATTTGATGGTCAGTGTGATGGGGTGTATAGACCCCAACATGGCAGCAGACACTAAAGCAGGGGTCGGCAACCTTTCAGAAGTGGTGTGCCGAGTCTTCATTTATTCACTCTAATTTAAGGTTTCGTGTGCCAGTAATACATTTTAACCTTTTTAGAAGGTCTCTTTCTATAAGTCTATAATATATAACTAAACTATTGTTGTATGTAAAGTAAATAAGGTTTTTAAAACATTTAAGAAGCTTCTTTTAAAATTAAATAAAAATGCGGAGCCCCCCAGACTGGTGGACAGGAGCCGGGCAGTGTGAGTGCCACTGAAAATCAGCTTGCGTGCGGCCTTTGGCACACGTGCCATAGGTTGCCTATCCCTGCACTAGAGAGTTAATAATGAGAGCGATCTCTATTCCAGCTGCAGCTAAATGGCTGGCTAGCAACAGCTGGAATAACAAGCTGCAACCCAGACGGAGCAGGGCAACTACAGGAAAGGGCTCCACAGCATCAGACAGGGGAAAGCTGCCCAGAGAGACCAATTCCCTGGCAGAAGCATCAAGGGGAAGGTTACCATGCAGAAGATGCCGGCAAGAGATAGCAAGCAGCCCAGGGAGGCAGCTGGAGACGTAAGCAAACAGTCCTTGACTGCCCAAGTCAGAGATCCCAGGGTGGGACTCAGAGGAGAGGGCAGACTTGCATCCACCTACCACTCCCTGCTGAAGCTCCAGGGTGTTGGTCACAACATAAGACTATTGAACTTCATTTTTGTTCCTGCTTCAATTTCCTTTGTCCTTTCCCTGACAAGGGAGGGAAAGGGACATATTGGGCTGAGACTACCAACTGGAGGCCCATTACAGGACTCTTCGGCACTCACCTCTTACTATCCCAAAAGAGGAGGGAGGGCTGGAGCCACAGAGAGAAGCTGAGCACTACAGATGGAAACCAAGGCAAATGCCCAGCCACGAGGGGATGCATTGAAGGGAAGAAGCCAGATGACAGTATGACGTCATTACCCAAGGACAAAAAGTGGGACCTATGAAAGGTATGTGCATCTTTTAAAGGCTGCATTTTCCAGCTATTTCATAGGCATCTTTCTCTTTTGTATTCTATCACTATTTATGTAAACAAAAAAAAATTAAAAAGATTTACAATAACTATTTTTCATTTGTAGGCAAAAGTTCAATACTGCTCTGAAAGAAGTCCATGGGAAGAACAGGGACAGGCCCAGTATCATTACAGCCTCTATTTCATGGATTACTATTATGTACAAGGCCACAGCACAGCAACCTATGACTTGATTGATTCCACTAACCAAGCCTCATCTTCTAAGCCTCAGATTTATTTGCTGTAATGCCAATTCTCTTCACAGGATTAATATATATGTATATTTCAAGTGAAATTCACCTGGTAAAATTCATACCAGAATAGAGGGCTTGCACAAAACAACAAAAGCCTCTTAGTGGAACTTAAACATATTACATAGAGGTTTTGAGTGACTCATTGGGCTTTCTGTGAGCTTTCTTCATTGCCATAAATTTCACCTTTGTAATAATCATGGTTTGCCACAGAAAGTTGCAATTCACATTAGTCACCAAATTCAGCAATCTGTAAAAATTCAATCTAGACAATATATTTGATAATGAGGCTCATATTCCCTTTCAGTTTTTCTTCTATTGCAAAAACATTCAACCCATCATTAGGGTGACCAGATAGCAAGTGTAAAAAAATCGGCACTGTCCCTATAAAATCAGGACATCTGGTCACCCTACCCATCATGCAAACAGCCAAAAAGACCTATATACTGCAACTATTAAGAGACTCTCCCTTTTACAGGACTAAAAAAGTCTAAGGGTTATTTGGGTCACATCATAATGTAAAAACAGTTAAACACAACATGTGTGTGTGAAGGTGAGAATGAGAAAGAGAGAGAGAGAGTTCAGTTGTGCTGAAGTATAGGTGAATGTGCTAGCAACCAATCAGAAAAAAACCCACCATCTAAAATTCTTAAGTAGAAATATAGGTATTCTCCATATACAGTACCTCTAAAGGAATTGTTTAATGAAACTTTCTAGAACAAAGGCAACAAAATATGTACTGGAAAAGTCAATAGTATATAGCACATAATCTATTGAACATTTAGTAGATGTGGAAATGAAACTCTAGTACGTCTTCCAGATCATCTATGTCTACCATCTCTGACACCTGAAATTACCATTTGAGGTATGTAATAGTGTTATGGAACACGTTAACACTTGTTATTAAAAAGACAAAACAGAAATATGAATGTATCTACAAATATAGAATATTATGTTTTGCAGAAATATTCTGAAGTATAAAGCAAAGTATGGTGTACTCTAACATCTTTTTCAAAAGACAAGACAGTTGGAAAAGATATGACTTATTAATCATCCTAAGTCATTTTTCAATCTTTGTCCTTTATTAAATTACACCAAAAATGTCGTGTTCATTTTAAAATTCCCTTTTCATGCAATTCCTTATTTTAATTTAAGTAGCAATCATATTGAAAGAAAAACTGCTGTTCAAGGGATGGGAATTTGCTTAAATAATTACTGAAGTGGAACAGACTTTTCTGGTCATTCTGACATTATGTCATATAGCACTGCATTTTCAGAAAGCTTTCTGGATGGATGTGTTGTACACCCAAAAAATAAATCAAGAAGAGAAGGAGATAATTTATAGAATTGTCAGGAATCAGTTTTAACACTTACTTTTGCGAAGATCTGAAAAATGTCTATTGCAGGTAGCAGCTGAAAAGCATCCTGGATCTCCACTCGCAAATAAAGCTGCAATGTCTGTGCCAGGTGCCTGAGACCCTCTTTCATTTCTTCACTTAACTCTTCAATATCTTAGGGGGAAAAATATAGCAAAGCATGAATAAAACCTTCTGCCAACATCTTTAAGAAGTCCAATGGCAGCAGTTCAATCTAGACATTTCCAATCCCAAATTTAATTTTGACAGAAAGTAATTATACACCACTATTTTTGACAGCTACATATCATCACTAAGCAGAGTTTATCATGTTGCTACTTCCAAATCATAACCATTATGGTGAGTGAATGATCAAAAGCCTAAAGATAAAACAGATGTGCAAGCAGATACAATATGTTAAATTCTAAATTAGTCAATTAAGTTTGTTACAATTAAAATGTGTTTGCATGTTATCCTACAATTTCATCCTCCTTACAACCGGATGCATTTTTATATCACTTTCTTCATATGAAGTGTCACAAATTGCTTTATGCTGACAAATGGAATAAACAGGGTACAAGGACTATGGTACACACAGAAAGGGAAAATACCACATAAAGATTGAGTTAAAGAAAGCTGACATTTAAAACCAGTACTAATACAAGTAAATATTATTCTGATATTAAATAATAAAATCACAATTCCAAATGAGGACAATGGGAGCTTCATGTGCACTGCATCTCTGTAAATCAGGCTAGGAGAATTGCCAAACTTCAAAGAGCAAATCAATGTCAGAGCTGGGAAAAGAACCCAAATCTTCTCTCAGTTCACTGGGCCACACTTCCTCCCTGTCTCCTCCTTCCTTTTAGTTTAGTTTAGTCTATGACAGAACGCAGCAATAATTTAACAGCCCAGTGCAGAGGGACACTACAGGTTAGGACAGATGCGAACAAGAATATTGCATCCAACTGAAACTTCAGGGAGAATTTAGAGAGGTTGAAACAGAATGTAATTACTCAAATTGGAATTTATCCAGGACACCAGCAATTCTTGCAAAAAAGTCCCATGAGATATTTAATGGCAAATGATCAGGAACTTTGTTTTTCCCAACTCATCATGAGACCAAAGGCAAAAATCAAAGTGAAACATAACTTGTAAATACCTTAATTCTGTGTGCTTAGAAATGAGTTTAATTGTGTCAGACCCTAGTCTTGGAGAGACAATGCTATATAAGTTTTGTGACAACTTTACTATATTATGCACAGGGATTTAGTTATGCAGCTCTTACTGACACTAGCAGGAGGCAGACAGCAAAGTATTTGCACACAATGTTGTAAATATACTCCTTTCTGCATGTATTACAACTTTAAAAGAATAATATAGGATTTGAATCTTGATAAATTTAACCACAGTAGAGATATAGCCTGTAGAACCTTCACCGATTTTAGACCTTTAAGTATTAATGCATTAAGAGTAATGCAGAAGTAGCAAATGCAGCAGAAGATCAAGGTGACATTCCAGACCATTAATCTCAGATTTAGCGTGTGCAACAGATTCTGGGTGATTATGAAATTGGCAGAGCAGATCTTGAAAAGAGGAGGTGGAGGAATATATTGCTCCTCCCAAAGGAGAATACATGTATACAGAGAGAGAGAAGCAAACGGGTGAAGTGACATTGGGGGTGTATAAACCACACACATAGTAAATCAAAGAAAATAATTCTCATTCCAAAGAGGCAGTACATAATAGTATTGAAAAGTAATGATCTGATGGATGGCAAATTAAGGTAGCGGTACTACCAGTCCATTATACAGATCCCTTGCAACTCCTAGTGGCAAACAAAAATGGCAGCAAATATTTTAATTTCTGTAAAAGTATTCACTTGCAGCTGTGCTGCTCAAACTCTAGATGTCTCTGTAATGTACTGAGGGTTCCTGAAAACGGCGTGATCTCTGGTAACAAAGATGGAAACCAGCTTGTGTTGTTTGTAGCTTGTTGCTCTGCCTAATAAAAGCTTGTTGTTTGAGAAGAGCTATGGCTCCATATATTATGGTATCTGATGTGAAGACTTCAACTTTCTTCAACATCAGCCACGTCCAAGACTACTTATGTATTGACAAGAGAAGCGTTGCTCATGGTACGCCCAGAATCTGCTTTGGGCCGTCTACACTGGCACAGTCTACAAGCTGTGCCTGTAGCTGAAAGAGGATGTGAAGAGCAGACCATGCCTCTCCAAATCAAATTCATCTTGTAATGAAGTTCTGTACCAACTTTAATGATTATCAGTGCAGTAAAACAAAGCTATAGTTTGCAATTGCGTGTTATGGTCTTTGGTGTAGAATGGGGGTGAGGAGCAATTGCTTTTGGGGAAAGTGACAAGCTAATGAGTGGCTAATGAGAATGCTTACAGGCAACCCCACCTAAACAAAACAAAGCCTCCCTGGGGCTTCTATTTTATTTCTATGGGACATCTTCAACCAAAATAACCTGAACCAGCAAAGCCTATAGCCATATTCAACTCATGCAGTTTCGCAGTCTGAACTCCAAACAAACAATACTGTTGGTAAAAATAGTCTTAACTTCAAACAAGCAGGCCAGCACTCTGATGCCTCCACAGCTCACCATCCCAACTCCTGGTCTGCAAACCCCTCTCTTTTCCTCTCAGGGATGCTTTCTAAGTGTTGGAGCCTAACTAGGCTCAGCTGTAGCTGATTACATCCATTTGGGGAGATACTCCCAGTTTGGGTCTGAAACCTCTGTTAGAGTTTAATCCCTGAGGCCGCTGTCTAATTTGGTGGCTCCTAATCTAATGGGCAACAAAGAGGTAAGGTACAACTGGAAGGTGGGACCCTCAAAAAGGGGGCCTCAAAAACTCAGTACACAATCATATGTACCAACGATTAATTTGCCATCTCAAAATTTCTTTTATATTGGTGAAACTTTGAATTTGTAAGCTTTAAGACAGCAAGAGTAAACATTTACATAGAAGATAACTTGACAAGACTACATAAGTGTCAAAGCTCACCAGGTGTCATTCTAGAAAGTAACAGTATCAACTAGTATCTATGGCTTTTGCGTAAGCTGCACTTCAGTTTAAGACCATACAGCAGAAATCATACTATTAACGCTCTGGGAGCGGACACAGATGATACAGTAAGTGTATGCATCTGTGAGATTTGCCTCCCATTGCTAGTTACTTAAAAAGAACCAAGCCTTTTAAAGTCATTGAGAGGCATCAAACACTCTGTGCAATGCCTGGATTTTCTTAAAAATTAGAGTTTTCTGGCAGAGGTTCACAGACTCTGTATCATATATTCACACTCAGCCTGATCCTTCAGCTACTTCAGCTCCTAATACCCCTGATTCCCACTGACTTTGATGAAGGCAAGGTAAGTTCAGGCCTCTCAGCATCTCTCAGGAGATATTGTTCTCCATACCTTACCAGACTCTGCCCCCAGTTAATATGCAAGAAATTAAGACCATAAAGTAAGACTGTACCATAGCAGGAGCGGATACCCAATGCTTCAAAGGAAACTCACTGCCCACTGTGCACCTGGCAAGCTGTATAATACTATATTACGAAGGGAAATTTCTTACTGATTCCAGCAATTTCCTGAAGCATGAGGATCAATAGTTTTTAACCTGTAATCTCACTAGAGTAATTGTAAATGCTGTTCTTATTCACCTAAGTGTCTAATCCCTTTTTGAATATTCCTAAACCACTTCATTTAAGAATATCCAGCAGTGCATTCTACTAGCTAATAAAAGGAATCCATTTTAATTCTGAGTTATCACTTTTAAATTGGTTGCCTTACTAATGTTCCTTTGTCCTTGTATTATGCAAAAAGGTGAATACAATGGCAGGCACTACAGCAGAAAAACAAAACTAGCATAAGTAGTAGTTGCGTCTTCGGGTTTTTTAATATTTCATTGATGCTACATATATGAAGTTACTTAAAATCTAGACCATGGTTCCTTGCCAAATTAGAACAGTTTTAAAAAGGCAAGCAAAATGTTTACTTTAATCTACACAATGTCCCTTTTACTATTAATTTTCTCTTGTGCTGCAATAAATTGAACTAAATGTACTTTTTGCCATTTAAGTCAGACCAATAGAGACTCTGAGCTATCAAAGACTTGAAAGGATCAGAATTATCTATTTTAGAAGCAGCCTAACTTTGAAAGAGTAGAAGGCAGAACCATTCCATGAGTCCCTGAAACTTATGGAAACACAATCTGATCTTTTTGTCCACATTGAATTTTCAGAAAAACAAACATTTATTAAGAGCCTCAAACAGTCTCATTTTTCTCTTATTAGAAGTTCCGTTGAATCTTTATGCACAAAGGCAATATTAAATTAACAACAAACTAAAATAGATAAAATGTGTTTATGACCAAAAAGTGTGTGGATTTGTTTTTTTAAACTAGATACACTCAGAAATTTCTACCTATTCTAGCAGATATGATGTTATCTTAAAGAAACAAACCTAACAAATAAGGTGCATACTCTAAATCAGGCAAAAGTCCAACTGAAGTCAATGGTTGTGCAAAAAGCCCCACACTAGCAGTAGAAAACTGTAACCTAATTTTCCACAGAAATTTCAGCAGTTCAAAGAGGGACTTTCATTCCCTTCTACACTGATTTTTTTCATTTACAATTTATTCCACAGAACAGAATTTCAGAAGGGCGAGCCAGAAGAAAACAAACCAATCATACTATGCATTTACAGCCATGTGGATGGTGATTACTTACTTGACTGAAGATCAGAAAAAGAGTAGAGTTTCTCAGAAGGACATGCTGCTGATTGTCCAAGCTGAAGGGAAAAAACAAAAATAATGAATGCATGATAATAAGCATTTATAGAGCACATTTTATCTCCAACGTACTTTACAAACCTGAATTACTCATTACCATGAAGTAAGTAACAGTAACAGCAGTGACATAAATCTTTTGTTGTTCATGTCACATATTCTATAAACCACCATAAAAATACTAAATGATTTTTTTTGTTATGACACTTCCCACTCATATATTTTCTTGGCTTTGGCAGTTTATCTTTAGTAATTTATTTCAGCCCTGTTTCCCTTAATAGGGAACAATTTATAAGACTAGAAATCTTCTTTCACTTCATGTGACTGTAATTAATATAAAGGTAAGGCTATGTGTTTATATATATATTCTCTTTAAAAGCACTGCCAAACATACATCCATAACAGTGTACAAAAGAATATAACAAATAATATTTTAAGTCCTCAAACTATACCAAATACATATATTTTGGTCTGGGAATAAGGGTATTAGGACTAGGGCCAACAAAAAAGGCAACATTCTTTGCTGATTTGCAACCTCTTAGTCATAGGTAGTTGAAGTAAGCATAGCATTTAGTCCATGCAGATTAATATGAGAACCACCATTGTGGAAAGATTGTAAGCCCAGAACTTTCAGTTGAGTTCAGAAAAATCTAACAGAGCCTAAGCTAACAAGTCTGCAGAGCACAGTATTGTACACCCCAAAAGAAAATATCCACCAGCCTTTAATTCTTATGCAAAATCTTGTATATTCACTTCTACTCAAAAGGGGCTTGGATCCTGCTCCCACGAAAGTCCATGCCAAAACACCCATCAACTTCAATGGTGCAGGATCAAGCCCAAAGTGATCTTCTTCCCTCCTCTCCATTTCTGAGGGAATGAATTTTGGGACTCAATTACATAGTCACTGCGTAAGAGAAACTTCCATTGACTTCAACAGACGTTGTTCTTCTGCAACAGTTTCATGAGCAGGCCCCTGGAGCTTAATTACGTCTATTTTCATATTTCCTGATGTTTCCAGTGTTGCTAGGAATTAATCAATGATTTTATAATGCTAAATGCATGTTCCATTTTGTTCATCCACCCAGCCACCTCTGCTTTTTAGTCTTTAATTACATTAAAAATTTAGAGTGCAAGGCTGGTTCCATGTAACTGTAGAATAGGATATGTTTAACAGAATGTCACTTACTAGTTTAAAAACAATCCTGCCAACAAGTCTCACTGAGTCAGGAGGAAAGTTAGGCTCAATACTCTTAAGACACTTGCATTCTCGCTTATGCTCCTGCCAGGCTTCTTTCTGTTACATTAAAAAAAAAAAAGATGATACACTTTATTTCAGACCAACAAATACATTAATGATATGGATTACAGAGGAAGCTGGGGGGGCATGGATCAGTGTTCATGTCGTGCTCCCCATCAGTACCTGGCCTGGGCTCGGGAAGCTAATGATCCAACCAGCAACAAAATTCTGTGATGAATCCTGGTCATGTGCCACCTGAGGCACGTTGTGCACACGCTAAGATGACGATAGAGGGAACTGGTAGCGACCAGTATACTTTGGCTACTCAACACTTTAAAACCATTTCTTCATTGTTTGCAGCAGGCTTTGATATTCAGCGGGGCGTCGAGGGGTGGGGTTGGGGGAGCGGGGGAGCCCCCAGCATTGCTGTCAAGTTTTGCTCTGCTCCATGTGTGACATTTTATGCTACTCAAATAAATAATTTGTGTGTAACCATAAACTTACGTAGACAGTGTGCACTCCCTAGCAAAAAGAGCGTATGAAGTTTAAACTGGCAGCTGTGGCAGGGGCAGATATTTGAGGGTACCCCAGGAGAAGGGCAGGGAGTCTGAATGGGAAGCAGGGGAGGGGGAAATTGGGTGGGTGGTTACTGGAACTGTTGATACTTGGAGTTATGGTATTGCCAGAGGGTAGGTAGATGCTGGGGTTACTGAGGGGCTGGTAATTCCTGGGAGGTAGATAGGGTGGTAGGAGCAAGTGTGTGTAAGTCTTGCTGAGGGGCAGGGAGCTCCTGGGAGAGCAGGTGCACGTTGGGGGACAGACAACTAACATTAAAAAATCCTAGGAAATTACACATAAAAACTACATTATAAGAAATGTTATTATGATTGCAAAGTCAAGCACTTGAAAGTTATGAAATGCCAGATTTAAAGTTGCCTGTGTAACTTTAATTCTGCCCCTTTGTGTGTATGCATTATGATCACGTAGTATTTTTTTCCACAGAACCCCTGCCTCGTTCTATGCACAGGATAGACACAGAAGGGGGCAGAATTAAAACTGCACAGGAACCTTATATCCAACATTTCATAACTTTTGAGTGCATGACATTGCACTGTAAATGACCTTCTTTTAACTTTGATTTATTTTTTTTTGTAAACTGTAATATGGTATAAATGCCATCATTGTTACTTGAGCTTTCAGCGACTGGGAAAAGTGAAGTTATTTAAAAAAAATTTTTAACATGGATAATAAATTGAGACTGATTTTCTTCTCATTTACCTAGGGTTTTTTCTCCTCAGTACAATTTCATTGACTCAGTGGAGTTACTCCTGATTTACCACAATGTGAAAGAAGAATCAGGCCCAAGACATTCAATAGTGTTAATGACCTATAATGCACATCAGTATTCACCAGTTATGTTAGGGCATTAAATAACTCGGCTTCACTTTAACTACTTAATTCTTCTCTTCAGTTATTATCTGGCTGATGAAATCTTTGCAAGGTGTCATTAGGACTCAAGTTATAAATCTTTTTAAGATCACAATTTAAAAATTGAGGTTTCTCATTTGTTAATAGTCATTAGTTGGCAAGTAAATGGATTTTAAAAGCAGGGACGCTAACTGCTCACAGCTTTAAAGAATGTGAAAATTAAAAGCAGGAGGAATGATAAATCAGAAAATCAAGAACCTGAATGATTCATATTTGACCCTTTTAGGAACAAAACCAATAACGTAGAAGCACTGGGATAGGAAACAATCAAAAGAAACCAAAAGTAATATTCTGTTTTAGATCTTGAGATTGCAAACAACAGGGGGGGAGGGATAGCTCAGTGGTTTGAGCATTGGCCTGCTAAACCCAGGGTTGTGAGTTCAATCCTTGAGGGGGCCACTTAGGGATCTGGGGCAAAATCAGTACTTGGTCCTGCTAGTGAAGGCAGGGGGCTGGACTCGATGACCTTTCAAGGTCCCTTCCAGTTCTAGGAGATGGGATATCTCCATTAATTTAATTTATTTATTTATTTATTTATGGAGTTACTTTACACATGAGCAGTCCTATTGAAATCAATGTGGCTACTTGTGAGAGTAAAGTTGCTTGTGTGTAAGTGTATGCAAGACTGGGTCCTGAATGAACAACCTACAACTTTCACTGGACTTATTTTTATTTACTGAATGGACAGATTTAACAGGATAGAGGAACATGGGGTGGGGGGGAGGGGAGACGGACGAGAAGGGGATGGAGGGAGGGTGTGCACATACGCAGAACTGGGGTACTTCTTCCTTAAAATCACTGGGGAGCAGGAGCAGCAATGGGTCTTTAAGCAAGTCTCTCGTTATGCTGGAAGGTTGGGCAGTTTTTGTATTCCTTCGGTTTGCTTTTGTTACTTTAGTCAATCCAGATTTTTGTTAATGTTTCATATAAAGTCTATGTGATAGAATTGGAGATTTTTAAGCCTGTATACATCTAATGTTGGCATTCAGAGCAAAGTCTGAAGCTACTGGGCTGCTTTACAGATGTCCGTGTAAAAGTGAAAAGGAGAAAAGAAACAGTTAACAAAAAGATATGATAACAGTTAAAACAAACATAGGGCTCCACAAGGCGATTTAGATTCCGACCGAAAGGCAGTAGGAGAAACGAAACAACCAACTGCGGAAAACAATTTCTGTCACGTATCAGCTATCAGTATCAGACTGCATGATGTCTGACCCAGAAATAGCTCTTCTACAATCAGCAGTAAAATAGGAAATGATGGGCAGAAGAAGTAGGGATGCTATAATGCTTGAGCAGGGGCAGGTGTACACTGCCCTCTGGTGAGGTGATTTAATAGTTTTAAAATTCTAAAGCTGGAGGAATCCCCATCCATCAGATGATAGGAACAAAGACCCCGGCAGTGGGAATTTATCATAAAAGACTATAAAACTCTTACAAGAGACCATCATCCCAGACAGCTTCCAGCTGTAAGAGACATCCCAGAACACAAACACAATGGTCCTGATTCTCAGCTGGTGAAAGGTGACTCACCTCTGGCCTATTGAGTTCAGTACTACTCTACCACTATTAGACCTATATTAAGCAACCAATTTTGGTCAGTGCCTTAAGACAGGTTTCACTGTATCTTTTGTTTGTAGAATTCCCATTGCTTGGTTACATGAATGACCCCAGAAGGAAGGATAGAGAGTGTATCAAGAACTGGAAGTGGTAGTTCATGGAAGTCTGTGAACTCAGGGGTTGAAAATAAACATCTAATTTTGCATTCTGTGTGGGTAATCAGATGATTATAAGCAATATAACACTATGAATAGCATCAGATGGATGATTTTTACTTTAAATAACAAAATGTCAATATCAGGTAGCAGTTATTTTACTTTGGAATATCTTTCTTATGCCTTCAAGTAATAAATTAGTTAATATTTTTTTCTTCCACATGGGAGCCTTGTTCTTATATTTCTTTATTTGTTACTCTACAAGTGAACAAAATGACCCCAACTAGACATTATACACAGTTAGTGTCACTAAGTATCTGACAAATACAAGTTAAATATCTACTGCTGAGTAGAATTACTTTTGTCCCAAAGAAACAAGGTCATGCTTGTAAGTGTCCAGACATTATTCTGTGTAATATAATTATATTGGCATTTTTATCCTGCTTCAGCTAAAATTGCTCTTTGAAGTCAGCCTTTATCTGTCGAAAAATTTCCCAACATAAATGCTGCATAGGATTTTAGATATGCTAACGGTAACATCAACATGATTAATAGCTTTCCCAACCAATAAAGCACTAATAAGATGAAATATGCAGTATCGCATAGCATCATATGTCACAGTCTCCTAAACTCAGAATGATGTTAAGATTGCATCTTTTCCTTATCATTGCAGTCAAACCAAAACTGATCACAGAATGGATGCGTTTATTATTTATTTTACTGAGGGAATGCTGGAATGAGGACAGCCATTCAGACTTCAGAGATTGGCAAAAAAAAGTTGCAACTGCATTAAATCTCTGCCTCCCAATACGGTGGTTGTGGGTAGGAAAAGTCACCTTAACTCTACATTTCCTGGCTTTCAGTCAGAGCATTTACATTCTCACATCCAAATAGGGTACAAAATAGCACAAGGCAAGATTATGTGGCCAACGTCTCAAATCTATCTTAACAGAGCCTTTTTCCCCTGGTAAATTGCCTTAGATTTTTCAGTAGTAACAACATGGGACTGAGGAGCAAAGAAAGCCAAGGGGAGGGCACCCTATTCTCCTCAAGACTCCTCTGCTCCTGCCAGCCCTCCATGGCCTCAGAAAGAAACATGCTGCCTCCCATATTCTCTAGCCCCGCTCAGCCCAGGCTCTTGCACTGGACCTCTCTCCCCTTTCACTCCTCTGTCTCACTATCAGCAGCTTGGGCTTTAGTCACAGGAGGGCCTTCTCCTAGTCCCAGCACACACACCCCATATCCTCTAGCTGGCAGCTATCAGACCCAGTCCCCACCTGATGTCACCCAGCTGCGTCTGATCATTCCCAACACCCGCCTGCCAGGGCCCTCCACTGAACAGGGTTGGCTCCTCCCTTCTGGCCTTTAGAGAAGCAGGCTGCCCTGTTACACCTGAACTATCACCTTAGGCCACCTCTAAGCTCCTGCCTCCCCAAACTCAGTGCTCCCATCCTCTAAACTGCTCCTACCTCCAAAGCTCTGCCCCCTGCAACCTCCTCCAGAATCACATGAGAGATCATCTCATTCTCCCGCCACACAGAGCCTTGTGTCCCCCTCCCCCACAAGCCTCCATGATAAGATTACATTTTGATCTCTACCTCTGTAGCAGGGGGGGGGGGCAAACTACAGCCTGCAGGCCGGATCTGGCCCCTCAGGGCTTTGGATCCGGCCTGCAGGATTGCCACCCCATGGCACCGCGGGCCCCGCTCCACTCCATGAACCGGCCGGCACATCCCTGCAGTCCCTGGGGACGGAGAGGCAGAGGGCTCTGCACGCTGCTCTTGCACGTGGGTACCTCCCCGGAAACTCCCATTGGCCAGGAACGGAGAACCGCAGCCAAGGGGAGCTTTGGGGGAG